CACTATTAATGACCAAAGCACTCTTTTCAGTTCTCAGAATCCACAGTGCTGGGCTCTTTGAAAAAGACAGTAAGTGGAACTTCCAACTGCCCTGTAGGCCCAAGGCTGCTCATTTAACTGACAGGCATGAAGGGCTCCTCCTCAAAGAACTTCTATATAAGTTGCAAAGTGGTAAGTGGATCTGCTCAAGCTGTCACTATTGCTACAGGCATTGAGTTGTCTAAATTCATGCCCCTGTGGGACTCCCTGCACCAGTCCCACACAGGTCCCTCAGTTGTCTTTATTGGCCCTGGAGGAGGATACCTCTGAAGTTCGTGGTTTTGATGACTACTTCACCATGTGGCTTTCTCCCTTCTGGGCAAGTGCTTATTCCACTTACTAGGGAGGTACTTCTCAGACTTCCTAAATGTCTCACGTCAACACCAAGGTTTAAATTGGTGTGAAGGCATGAAAGGGTGAATTATGGCACAAGGCTAAAATTAATATTATATGTTGTCTTGACATCTGGTAAAATTGGGAGGACCTTGAATGGCCTAACCACAAGTTCTTCCCACTCTGTGCCCATGGATAATGTCCCCTGTCCAAGCAAGCCTCTGTATTAGATAGACAGGTACGGTTCCTACTGATTCCTACCTGGAGGGTTTCCTTTCCATGCTAGATGTGGAATTACTCACACAAGCCAGTCACATGCTCTTCTGGAAGCCAGAGGTACCTCATCCTTTCGATACTACAAAGCCTGCCTCCTAGAGACCCTGGTTTATTCACTCTCTTCCTGAGTGCAACATCCATGTGGCCCTTTGTGGTGTGCTGCGTCCTCTTCTCTCGGGCTGTGTCGGTGACTCGTACACCACTGTCATGGCATCTGTCCAGTGTCAGGTGTTGTGCGTTCAGCCATCCTCATGACCCTGGGACAAGAACCCCTCCCTCATCAATGAGGTAAACAGGGTGTGATCATAGCAGGGGTACAGGGTGATGGGCAAGACACAAAATACAGACATGAGGGACAGACACTTGTTTGAGTCCTGACTTTAGCCCATTTCCAGTGTGACTGCGTGTATGTTGAGGGACTGGGGGGCCCATTTCAATGCCACCAATAGAAATTATTGCCTGAACTTCACTGGAGCCCAGACAATGCAATCTTTGGCTGTATGTTCATGTGGACTGAGTTAGGTGTTTTTTCTTAGTTATTCTTGTGGAACTTTCGAAGATACAGGTTTTTTTCCACGTTTGATTTTAAATTTAGGTCTGTGAGTATCTGAAGAGATGTTAAACAGTCATCCACTTGCATGCAGATCATACAGAAATATGTATTTGTAGTGGCTATAAGATCCTGAGTTCTAGCACACGGGGAACATGTGGTTGGAAACAGGTGGGAGGGCATTAATTCAGGAATAATTTGTGCATGTACTTTGGAATATTGCAAAATGAAATTTTATGATTAAAGATAATTGGGAAGAAGTTTTTAAATAGCAAACCAGAAATTAACATGTACCCAGGGGGGGAAAGAAAGGTAGTTGGCACGTTTCCAGGTAGACAGCTCTGCAGTGCCTACAACCCACATACCAGACTGTGCTAGTGAACATGCGTGCACGAGCACACGCACACGTGTGCAGGCACACACACACACACACACACACAAACACTTGTAGGGACTGATGTTCCTTGGTCAGCCTGTGAAAGAGCCCAAGTTACAGTGATGCCAGGTTCAAACAGAAGCTTTATTACTTCCTTTGTTTCTTGATTAACATCTGTAAGGAAGGGAGAGGTAGTGAGAACAGGAGGAGCCAGGGAAAGCTAGCAAAGCTGCTTCCCTCTGGGCCAGAGAACTGGCACTCCTAGTGTTCTGAAAAGCAGCTCTTACAGGGCTTCACCCAGTCCAGCACCTGTCATGATATGGGGCTAAAGCCATCACTCCAAAGATATTGTGGAGTGAAGGAATGAGTGAGACACTGCTATTATTCTTTCATCCATCTGTTCTTAGAGCACTGGAATGGTGACAGACAACTAGGGAAGGAGAAGAGTTGGAGCAGTAAAGTCCCAAGGAGGCAGGGAAGTGGTTACTCCCAACGCTTTTCTTGCCATCCTGAGCGAATGAAGGACGACAGTGATGGGATATGGAGCTAAAGCCCATACATTTAGGCACTTTATCTGGAGGCTTCTTGTCTTAGTTCTGGCTACTCTGACACATACCGTAAGCAGGGGGGCAACAACAGGCATTTGCTTCTTATGCAGGAGCCTGGGAAGTCCCAAGATCAAGGTGCTGGCCAATTTGCTTCCTGGGTGAGCTCTCTTGCTGGCATATGGATGGCTGCTTTCTTGCTGTGTGTTCACAGGATGGAGACAGAGATTTCTGGTGATTCATTAATCCCATCATGGGGATCCCCCTTTCGTGACCTCATCTAAGCCTAATTATTTCCAAAGGGCCCCACTTCCAAATACCATCACGTTAGGGTTTAGGCCTTTAGCATATGAACTCTGGGAGGACACAAACATGCAGTCCACAACACTTCTCTTTCAATTATCCTGTTAGAGGTGTTGGGAGACTTTAGCTAAGCCTCCATATGGATCATTGTTAGCACATATGGTGGACCCTCTGGGCAGATGAAGTATAAAAAGTTTCCTTCCTCTGGGCTGCATCCCTGTGCAGGTAAGGGGAACGTAGACTGCATTTCAGCTCCCACTTGCTCTTTTAGCTGGGAGCCATCAGACAAGGCTCTGTGCTGGCCCTTTAGGGTCCCTAGGATTCCGCCAAAAGGGAGGGAATTGCCAGAGCGGCACTGAGTGATCTAGAATGACAAGTATGACCCTGGGACTGGTAGGGGGTGGCGGTGGCATGGGATCCCTGTCTGCCTAGCCCCGCTGGGGTTTGTTAACTGCCTAATACAGCTTCCATCCTCTAAAAGCATGTGGGAGGCCTGAAAGGCTGTAATAAAGAACTGTGTCTATGGTAACCCCTGCCACTACATAGCACTTTATTGGGGCTTGTTCACAATAGCCCTGAATGCCAGACATTCACTCACACATGAATGTACTTAAACATTAACATTCCCCGACACACGAACATGTTCACATATTAGTTCATCCACAAGAGTACATTCCTGTTTTCACTTACATTCACACATAAACATACACACATCCTCCATTTCACATATGAACATGATCGCACACACCCACAAACACAACATTCACTCACACACACTCACAAAGTCACATAGAATGCCCTCACATTTATCAAGAAACGGGAGTAACTCATGCATTCACACAGTCACTTATGCATGTACAAGTTCACACATTCACACAGTCGATGTACTCCTGAGCACTGACACATTCACACACCCCAACATGTACTCACACATATGAACATGAGCACACATTCACACACAGAAGGCTCATATTCACTCATACAACCATACACAAACTCACACACACTCACACTTGTACATGAAAACACATGGACACACTTACGCTATCACTTCCACACAAACACACATTGCATTACACACAAACATGGTCACACTCACTCACACAAATGAACATACACATTAACATGCCAAGACACATATGCATATTCATTAACTCACACACACATGCTCCTATATTCACTCAAACTTGCATTTTAACAATATGCACACATATCGGCATTCTCATGCATTTACTCAAACATAAATATCCTTGTACATTGACTCAAACACAAATACAGAGCACACATTCCCATAAGAACACACACGGATATGCTTATACATTCATTCAAACACATGAACATGCTTACATGTATATACTCTCATAATCACTTGCACACAAACATGAATGTATTCACATATACACCCCATGAGCCTGTTTACAAGCTGACATGTGCACTCATTAACACATTTATGCATGTGGACATGGTGAAGATTTGCACAGAGATGTTATCACATATAAACACTCTCATGCATTTGCCCACAGAAATGTATGCACACATAAAGAAGCTCACACAAATGAACATGGTTACACATTCACTAGCAGATGAACATGCTAACATAATGTACATACTTACAAATTCACTCATACATGAACACACATAAACACAAATTCACAAAACTGTCACACACACAAGCTCAGTCCACTCTCACACATGGACATGCTCACACACATGGACATGCTCACAGATTTACTCCCATGTGGTGTAATAGACACTCACATACACTGACCCCCACACACATACATTCATTCAAACACACATATTATACTTAAATTAACATGCTTGTGCATTCACTCACACACCTAAATAGGCCCCATATACACCATATCAACTCACATGTTTTTTCACATGCACGAGCATTCTCAGCCTTAAGATGCTCACACACTCACACGTACATTCAGTCACACACACAAACACGGTCACGTATTCCTACAGACACATAGACACACTCGCATATAATCATTTGCACACACACGTGAAAATGTTCACACATGGCCACTATTCACTCACATGTTCACTCACACATGGCCATGCTTCCAAATTAACTCGCATAGACTCATAAATGCTCAAAAGCATATACTCACATTCACTTACACAAATTTGCTCATGCTCATCACAGAGCTCACACATTCACTCACACAGGTATGCTCATAAACCCACATGTACCTTTGTTTGCCTTGATTTCACCCACTTCTCCCTTGGAGTGTATTCAAATAAAAGTTACACTCTGCTTCACTGTTGTGTCTCTGCCTTTCAGTTCTTTGTTTCGGCAGGGACAAGAACCGAGGCAAATAAATCCAGTCTGGTAAGCCCTTGTTATTATTATCTGTAATAGTTAAAATGAAATTAAAAGAGAGTCCTGGGTGGGCTCTTGGTACTAAACCAAGAGCAGATTTTCAGGCCATCTGAGCCTGGGCCACTAGCTTCAAAGCACCCCCCAAGAGAAAAATATGCTGGTGTTAAGGGTTGAGTTTGTTCTCCTTGGTTTTTGTCTCTGCTGCAACAAAGAATTGAAAGGCAGAGACACACCAGTGAAGCAGAGTGAATGTTTTATTTGAATACACTCCAAGGGAGGAGCAGGACATCATCCAGGTGGACAAAGGCAAGGAGTTGCGTCTTTGACTGACAAGGTGAGGTTGTTTGATTTACAGGTCTTTCTATATCGTCATCCCTCTCAGTCAGCATGTTGGTTCCCCACGGTGAGATGTGATTCAGAGAGTTCTTCATTCCGTTCGACTGTTCCCCCGTTGGGAAGGAAGTTATCTCCCTGCAAAGCCTTTGTTGTCTTCATGTGGGACCGCTGACCTAGGCAGAGTCTCGGTGGCTCTTCCCCTGAACCTTAGGTTGAAGGCTTTGGGCTTTGTCTTTGAGCCTTATCCTCCCTTTTCCAGCTGCTCATGTCGATCTTTCTACCTAACATCGCCCCCTTTCTTTCTTGCAAGGAGAAAGGACCATCTCCAGTAACAGGTTCACAAAAGGGCCAGAGACCCTTGGCTCAGCCCCTCACTGAGGACTGAAAGTCTTTTGCCAGAGAGTGAGTAAAATGGTCACGGGGTGGAAACGAGGTTTCCAGGTATCATTAAGATATGCACCTTATGCACAGTGGTACCAAAACTCATTGGAGAAGCCCTGACCTGGGTGGTGATTAGACTGAAAGAACATAAAAATGTAAGAGTCAACAAGGTTATGAAAGTTGGAATGTTTAAACAGGCCGCAAAGAAATGGTGTCTCCTTTACCTGGATGTTTTATGAGAATAGATATTATGTCATGTTGGGACACATGCCCCTTACTTGGTATTGTGAAACCAAAACATTTTGATGAAGTCCTAATAGAGGCTACAGTAGACATGTAAGGGTACATGGAATCAAGGTAAAAGTTTGTAGGAGACATGGTGTGTTTGAACAGGCTTTATGTGAAGTGACTGTGTTACTGGAGACGGGTTTTTGGTCTCACTGCAAGAAAGAATTCAAGAACAGACACAAAGAGCCACTGAGCATTAAGCATTTACTTAGAGAAGAAACTTTCAGAAAAACACAAAGAATACATGCCCGAGAGCTGGGGTGTAAGCAGACTGAGAGAAGGTGGCACCAAGGGAAATAAATCGGGAGCCGTTTTTTTATACGAAGGGAGATGAATATTCACTAAGTGAGATTAGGCTTCAAAGGGGACAGGTGGAGTCTCCCTGGAGTTGGGGCTTGCTCCACCCTCATGTCAGGTGGGGGATTTTGACCATAGTTGGTTCTCTTTGAAACTGTCCTGTTGAGGTGCCGTGCAGGGAGGTTTGATTTTTACCATGTTGTGATGGAGGGTCATTTTTACTATGTTGAGATAATAAAACTCTTTATTATTCTACTATGCTAATGAGTGCATAATGTATTTGCCAGGCATCTCCCTGCTTGTTGATAGCACAGCGTGAGATGAGACAGTTGAAATAAAGGAGGGCCTTCTTAAAGAAAAAGGAGACAGAACTTGCTGCTTTGAAAACCTCCAGCCACTCTTAAATGGCAAGTGATGCCAAAGTTAAGGAAAGACTTCCAGGCAAGGGCCACATCCAGAGCCCTCCTGGGAAAATGTGGTGTGAAGATGAAGCCAAGGCTGTGACTATACTGTCTTCTGTTTAGGCCTCAGAAAGATCTGGGCCAGCATTTCCAGATCCTTAAAGTCAACACAGGCCTTCCAAGAAGTTGAAGGCTGTTGTCCCTAAGCAGTCTCAGCAGAAGCCCAAGTCCCAAAGGGTTTATCCCAAAGAGAGTTCTGTATGAGCCTCTGAAATAACAGAGTGAACCTCAATTAAGAGTCCTAGAAGGTTCACGTAGGGACTTAAGAAAAAGAAATTTTAGCAGAAAGACTGGCAGCACAGCATGAACCAATCTGAACTAATTGGAGGCTCTTCAAAGACACTTAGTGGATAAATTCCTACTTGGACTGCCCTTTCATTTTAAATAATGTTGACAAAAGGCCCCATGCCATCTCATAAGGAATACTGCATGTGATTACACGATAACACATTTTAAAATGTTAACACTGATGACAAAAAGAGATTGTAGATGTGTTACCTTTACTTTGTTTTAACAGACATTTATGGAGCACCTAAGAAGAAAACACAGTACCAGGTGCTTTGGAGGAGAGAGAGATAATAAAACTCTTTATTACCCAATCATCCAGAAACTCAGATCCTAGGGGGTGGTGGAGAGAGACACACATATGCATATAAGTAATGTCAAAATACGTGCAAACATGTGCTACTAGAGACTATGAAAGAAGGACACGATTAATGAGACCTATCTAATGTGCACCATACCGAAACAGAGAAATGAGATCTTCTGCCCTCAAACCCCTGGCCCTTCTCCTTCTCTCATTCTCTATTCTGGTCAGTTCATTCCCCCGACCCTCCTTAAATAGTTCCCATATATGTAGGCCCATTTTCTCCTTTTCTTCCAGTACCTCAATGCTGTTAAGGCCCCCACATCCAGAGTTACTGAAAGCACTGCCTCCATCCAATCAGCAACTGGTAAAGGCTTTGCTATGATAGATTTTGCTCATGTGTTCTGTTCAGTGCCTATAGCAACAGGACCTCCACTGCAGTGCAACTTCACCTTCACTTCTGAAGCGACGTGATGCACATTTACCTGGCTACACACAGGGTACCTGGGCAGCCCTCAGGTAGGGAAAGGCTGTGCCACCTAGGTTAAATTCCTGAAGATTTTTTGGTAGACCAAGGGCCGCTCCCTCGCTGACACTACCAAGACGAGCTACTGACCCTCTTGGCACCCACGATGTTAAAACAAACCCAACATCTTATAGACCTTGGTGGGCCCAGTGGGCAAGCAAGCCGTCATTTGCAAATGTTACATAAGCCCATTGACGCTATTTAAAAACCGGCCTACCTTGAAAGGGCCCCCTATGGGCAAAAGGCACCAGAATTTGTCCAGATTGCAAAACAGCAGTAGATCTTGGTCGGGACTCCTGAAGAGTTCTTTACTGTCGAGGTTTCAGCAGCCTCGTCTCACGCCTCCTGGAATCTCTGAACCTCCTGTGATGACCATAAATTGTCCTTGGGATTCTGTGGGAAGAAAGAACCCTGCTCAGCCCCAGGATACAAGACACTAGAGCGGACATGCTGTCCACATATTGAGCTCTCCTGCCATTAGAAGTGCTCACAGGTCCAGGCCTGTGACACTCAGTCGCCAGTTGCCCATTAGGCCCTGGGTTATAGTCGCAGCATCCTCGCAAGTTAGGCAAAGCCACCAAGGCCTCCTTGTTACAGATGGAGGCAATCCTGGGCCCTCTGGCATATCCATCCCACTAGCAGGAGGGCTTGACCTTCCCCAGCATCATTCCCTTGCCAGATGCCACAGTGTTGGGCAAGTTCACCTTTCTCTCTGACCCGCTGGTGACCAGGGGAGCCCCTTGGGACCAGCTGAGTGAACAGCAATGGGTGTTACTCCACTCTGTGCCTGGAATCGTCACCATCACTCTGGTCACCAGTGATGGAGCTCTCATCCCTAAACCAGGACATCTCTACTATGATGGGTCTCTGGGACCCGAGGGTCAGTCAGCACAGTTAACGGAACTTTAGGCAGTCACCTCAGCACTGGATGTCCTGGCCAATAGTCTGTCCCAACTGCACTTTTTTTTTTTTATGGTTACTAGAGCCCCCCATCAAGTCCCCCCCACATACCCCATTATAGTCACTGTCCATCAGCACAGTAAGATGCTATAGAATCACTACTTGTCTTCTCTGTGTAGTACAGCCCTCCCTGTTCTCTCCCTACATTATGTGTGCTAATCGTAATGCCCCTTTTCCCCCCTTATCCCTCCCTTCCCACCCATCCTCCCCAGTCCCTTTCCCTTTGGTAACGGTTAGTCCATTTTTGGGTTCTGTGAGTCTGCTGCTATTTTGTTCCTTTAGTTTTTTTCTTTGTTCTCAGAGTTTGGAGAGTTACTATTTCTGCTATAACTGGGCCCAGAGTTACCTGTAATCAGACATCTACCTAGTTAATATTTTTCCAGTCTGGGTTTTTAACTCAAAACCTTCACTAAATATATATGTATATGTGTGTGTGTGTGTACATATATATGTGAATTACAGGCTAAACATAGAAAGTGAGGAATCTTAGTAAATTCATAGAAATAAGTGTGTTCATTATCAAAAGAGAATGAAAATAAATAAACTAGATATTCAATATAAAAATTAGACAGTAAGCAATAGAACAGTGCTTCTCAAACTTTTCAGTCTCAGGCTTCTTAAAACTTATTGAAAACCACAAAAAGCTTTTGTTTATGTGGGTAATATGTACCAACATGTACCATATTATAAAGTGAAAGTAAGAAAAAATTACTCATTAATTCCTTTATAATAACAATAATAAACCTATTATGTATAATACAAATGCATATTTTTGCAAAATGACTGCATTTTCCTAAACAAATTGTTGTAGTGAGAAGAGTGGCATTGGTTTATATTTTTGCAAATGTCTTTAGTCTCCAGCATAATACAGGATAGCTGTACTACTCATTTTTTCTTTGGCATTTTAGCATATTAATATTCTTATTTTAGAACATCCATCTGTTTCAATGTCACAGAGCCTCTGGAAAATTCACTGTCTACTTTCAAGAAAATGAGAATGAAAAAAGGTGTATAAAGCCTTCATATTATTATGAAAATAGTTTTGATGTCAATTCCCTGAAAAGGTCTTGAGGACACCCCTAGGGGTCCCTGGGCCACACATCAAAAACCACTGCAAAAGAATAAATCTAAGAAATACAGGAAGTAATTCAGATAAAAGCTGAAAATCATGAATTAAAAAGCAGAGCTGGTAAACCCAATTCCCTCAAAAAATTAATGAAAAGGCAGATATTTGACAAGTGCAACCACAAAGAAAGAAAAAATTAGAATGTTTGGAATGTGAGCCACTACAAACATAGAGAAGAAATTATTATATATGATCATATATAATCAAACCTGAAAATATCAGCAAAATAGATAATTTAGAAAAATACAAATTACCAATATTGCCTGAAGAAGCAGAAGAAAACTGGAGTAGGACCATAACCGTGGAAGAAAAGGAAAAAGTTCATAAGTAATCAGCTCCAAAAATGGCACCAGGCTCACATGCTTTTACAAGAAAATTCCCTCTTTAAAACTCCTCTAATAATTCCTTAGAAAAATAACATCTTTCACAGAATAGCTCTTTCCCTTAACTATAAGCTGTCCTATAGCACAGTAAAATAGAGAAATTGCAGCATTTATAAACTTGGATAAACACTGAAAAATGTGACAGAAACAGTAGAAAAGAGAAAACTGTAAGCCCAAGCCATTTATGATATAAAAATCCCAAATCAAATACTTTCAAATCCAATATAGCTGTACGCCAAACTGCTTCATAATCAAGCAAAGTTCTAAACATCTTGTTTGGGAGATAGATATTATAAATTCTGAATAATTCTGGAGATTGTCATAAAAGTGTGAGTTTAAATAATTTTGTTGAAACATTAGGGGTAAAACATTAGGGGTAGCCATTAGAAGACTATAAATGTAATGTGTAACTTCTAGAGCACTAGAAGGAAAAACATTTTAACCCTGAAAAACTAAAAACAAAGACGGAATATAGTAAATATAAAGTAGGATTGCAAAAACAGACACAAACATCATTAATCACATTAAATTTAACTGGATTAAATTCCTCTCTTAAAAGAAAAACAAGTGGTTTGGGTCAAAAAGCAAAATCTTACCTATATGTTTCTTACAAGAGACAAACCTGAAAGAAAATAAAAATAAAGGAATGAACAAAGATACATATACTAGGCCAGTTGTTCTCAAAGTGTGGCCTTTGCACCACCAGTATCATTACCACTAGTGAAGTTGTTAGAAATACGCCTTATAGGCGCCTTATAGGCCCTACCACAGACCTACTTAATCAGAAACTGGCAGTAGGGGCTAGCAATTTTCATTTCAAAATACTTTGGATTTTAAAATGATATGGATGCCCACTCACATTTGAGAACCATTGCCCTAAATGTTAACTAAAAGACAGGGGAAGTGCTAAATATTACTATCAGAAAAAATATAATTCAAGGCAAAAAGGGACAAAAAGACAAATACCATATTGATAGAGTAAAATCCACCACCAAGATATTAATGTTATGAAACTTTACACAGTATACAACATCTAAATAAAAAACTTATAAAATTATAAGAAGAAATGAACAAAACCACCATCATAAAGAGAAGCCAATACTCCTGTCAGAGAAAATGGGCAAGTAAAATAGGTTAAAAAAGAAGAATATGGAATATTTTAAATAAAATTCAAAAACTTGGTATAATAAGGAACATCATATCTAATAAGTAAGCTTTTTCTAAACTTTTAGGGGTTAAAGAGGAACTCAAATTTAAAATCAGAAGATAAGAGTAATGAGCAGAAATGAAATCTAAGCAGTACCCACATGAAATTTCAGAATTTTAAAGCTTTTGAAAGAAATAAACAAGTAAATAAATGAACCAAGCATTCAACTCAAGAAGGTAGTATAAAAAAACACATGAACAAGGGAAGTAAAAGGAACTAAAGATGATGGTAAAAATAAAGTAGAAAATATTTCCCCACTCTAGACTTCTTAATTAGCTAAGCCAAGAATCTTTTCTTTTCAAAAGCAATAAAATAGACAAACCTCTGGCAAGGCTGATCATAAAAAAGGGTGAACACACAAACATTAGGAATGTGAAACGGGATGTAACTAAAAAAATAGAGATGATGAAATACAGACTACTTTGTACAATTTTGAGACCTAGGTGAAATAAGACTTCCTAGTAAAATATCAACTCTCAAAAATGGACTCAAGAAGCATTATTCGTTTCATTACTTTTTCTACAAGAAATTGAAAAGGAGTCATTCTTCCAACCCCCAATCCTGGGCCATGGTTCTAGGTTCAGACAGTTTTAGAGGCAAATTCTACCAACCCTTCAATGAACACATGATTTCTGTAAATACAAGAAAAACAGGGAGGTTTCCCAGTCCATTCTACTAGCTAATATTAATTAACTTAATACCCAAATTGGATTAAAATAGTATCCACCCCAAAATACAAAACCTGTGGATGAAATTCACTTTTGTGGTTTTTCAGATGTAAAAATAACAACCATGATGACATAGAGATACAAAAGTAGTTCACTATTAGAAAATTCATTAATGTAATTTATTTCATTCATTCCTTTATTCAATAAACACTTACTGAATGCCTACTATGTGCCACACATTGATCTGGGTATAAAGGAAATGACCCATTGTAATGAAAAAAAATAAAACAGAGTCCTTGCCTCATAGATCTTACAAACTTGTGGAAAGAGAAAAAAACAGAAATATTTTCAGAGTGTTATAAATTCTATTAAGGGCAACTGAATGGTGATGTAGTAATAATAAAGGGGAGGGAATATATGTTTAACCCTTTTCTAATATGCTTTATGTATTAGAGTTACAACCTAAGGATGGAAGGGAACATTCCACAGAGAGGAAAGAGTAGGAGCAAAGCACCGGAGGCAGGAAAGAGCTTGGAGGTCTGAGGATCAAAAAGAGGGCTGGTTTTGCTGAAACAAAATGATGGGGATTCTGAAGAGCAGGGGTTGGCAAACTATGGCCCGCAAGCCAAATCTGGCCTACTGCCAGAATTTGTAAGTAAGGTTCTATGGTAATACAGCGAAATCCCTTTGCTTACATATTGTCTATGGCTGCTTTCACTATGCAATAGTAAAATTAAATAGCTGCAACAGAGATGGTACGTCCAGTAAAGACAAAAATATTTACTACTAGGCTCTTACAGAGCATGCTGATGGTTTTAAGGCCATCTGCACCCTTGTAGAAGGTCTGCGTCACTTTCTAAGTGTAATGGAGAGTCACTGGAGAGATTGAGGCAGAAGAGTTTAAGGTATGATCTACTTCCATTTTAAAAAGCTGGCTTTGAGATGACAATATTGGTTACTTTTGGAGTAGGCTATTGACCAGAAGAGGGCATGATGGAGCCTTTTGGCGTGCTTAAAATGTTCTGTATCTTAATCTGGGTATATGTGTGGGTGCGTGGGTGTCTGTGTGTGTATACCAAGCTCTATTTGTAAGACTTTCCTACTTTACTGTGTACACATTATACCTTAATAGGAAAGCTCTGAAAGCAAAAAAACACACCATAAACAAAAGAGAAAAGGGACAGTGTAAGAGAAGAACTTGTAATACATACACAAAAACAAAAACTTACTACCCATTAGCAAAGAAATCTTGGAAATTAATTAGAAATAGTCAAAATGATATAAATAAAAAGAGTATGATATGGGGAAATGGGAATGTTAATTTGTACAGCCTTTTCAGAAGGTGATTTGTCAACATCCATTAGATTAAAAATTCAATACTCTATAACCCAGCAATTTCACTTGCAGGAATCCATCCATTCAACAGAAATACTTGAACATAATGAACAAACATGTACATAACCTAATGATGTTCAGCACTGGATCTAAAACTGAAAAACCAGTAACTGCTATAATGACAAATTATTCATTCACATGGGCATGATTTTATATAATTACTGCCTCCACACTGCAGAAGAATATATGTATGGATGTACATTAAGGATACCTGGGATATTGGGGATAGTAAATCATCCAATACCATAGAATTATTTTTTTCAAAGGTATACACCAAACTGCTGAGAATTTGGAGTTTCGAAAGTTGAAGGCATAGGGGGAGGTAAAATGGGTCCTTCACCCCAACATTTTATTTAAAACTTTCAAACAGCAAACCTGAAAGAACACCAATACACCACTTCTAGATTTTGTCATTTTAAAATACTTGGGGCTTACATTTTTAATTCAATATACTTTGAAATGTGTAGTTTGGATTTTTTAGCAAACGGATATTACTTTTTGTAATAACAATATGGTTTCAATAATGAATAGATATTACTTCCATAATCAGAAAAATTAAATACTTTTACAACTTGTTTCCCCTGTAAATCTTCTTCTACACACTGATTTTTCGTTTATACAACCAATTCTAAAATTAAAATGATCAACACTTAGAGTAGTATGGCCAGGCTGCCTTACTCCATGCTTGACACAAAAAATATCCCCTTATTTCATCCCTGAAATGATGATCCTGCTTTTAAAGCTTAAGTTATTTAAATTACCTTTGGCTACACATTTCTAAAACACCTTTTCCTCCTTATAACTGGATATTACTTTAACTGCACATTTTGACCCAGTCATATTTTCACTTGCAAGTTCATTGCTGTTACACATCATAGTAAGGTTATGATCTAGCATTATGACTATAATGGGGAAAAAAACTGCCTGAAAAGCAGTAAATGTAGAAAATTATCATCTTTCTCCCTTTAGTAGTTTTGTTCTCATTTTTTGCATTTTCTTTCCTCCGCATTCCATACTCATATGTGCCAGTTGTTACTATCATTCCCCTTACTTCATCTCTAAGACATAAAACACATTTTCGAGCAATTGCTGATGACGAGCTGGCATTTTCAGGTTAACTTCCTACTTCTGATATAGAAGAATTGAGCTTCTCGGATCACTACTATCCGTGCTAAGAAATAAGAAACAAAAACTTGAGAGTTCCAAGCCTTCCCAAATAAATCACACATTCAAAAAGGCACTATTTATATAAATACTACACTCAAAGACACAATAGCATTTCATTAAAGTAAACTATTAAAGAATAAATCAAGAAACATCCTTTTTTGAATAAAGGTTAAAACATGCGAAACCCACAAATATTTACAACTTTTATGCCTTATTCAAATCTACACACTCTCCAACCAACACCGAAAGTACTATTTCCACACATGGAATGGCAATGAAATACGACTAATTCCACTGTAGTCAAAAACATAATGAACACAAGCGGAGTACTAACTCAAATCAGGATGCTTGCCAGATCAGATGTAAGCTGTTTCAGGCATAAAAGCCAGCCTCGGGCTGTGCAAATTTCATTAAGCGAGAGCCTCTCTGTTATTCAGGAAAACTTGTCTCCTACTACTCGTGGCTTGTAATACTTCAACAATACCAAAGCACCTCCTTTTCCTTTCCCATTAACGCCAAGCTCCTAAAAACTATTTTTTAACCCTCCGTTGTTGCCTCTAATTCCTTACCGTTACAATTGTGTTCCTCAGGTTGCTTGTTGGTTAGTCAGATATCTCCACACCTGTCTTCGTTATTCCACAGCGCCAGGTAATGACTCCTACCGCCCTTCAAGGCCTCTTTTTGTATCTCCTCGTGCGCACTATTTCTAAAGAGCGTTTCTAAGGAAATAGTGTCCAAGGTCTTTCCACAGTGGACGCTATCTATGCACAGGATGCTCTGGCCTGTTCTTCTCTCGTTGTAAAGACACGAGACTCTGGAAATTCTCATTTCTATGCCAACATTCAGAATATTTTTGTATACGAGATCGTTTAGGCTGGGGACCAGGTAGCACTGCTGGTACACCCTGTCGGAGATCGTCACATTAAAGCAGTAAAGAGGCGGTTTCGGTATCTGGTCGCGTGGCTCATCCCCTAACAGGTACCTTTGGACAGCCAGCCCAGCGACAGGCACCACCTCCGACGGGGTGATCCACTGGAGAGGTGAGTCCGTTCTTTGCTCAAGAACATTTCGGATCCAGGAGTTGGACCCTTGGGCTCCGGCCCCTCGGATCACCCCTCCCGGGACGCTAGCCCCACTTCTCTCACGGTTCGGCCGGTCTAGCCTAGCATGTGTGGGGCTGGCTTCAGGCTGGCCTAACTCACCAGACGTGATCGTCAGGCCACTGACTACCCTCTTCACTCCCCAAAGCGAATTTTCCCAGTTCAAAGCGAGAGAGCAAGAAACCGCGCGCTAGGGTGACGATCTCTACCCAGCCTGGCCGACTGAAAAGGCTCCTCCCCCGTAGGGGGCTGCACGTCGTTTCGCGTGTGCGCGTCGGCTCTCTAGCCCCGCCCCTAGATCGGCGCACTTCCCTCGCTCAGGCGCTGTTACTAGGCAGCCACGAGCGCGGTTACGTAGCAGGTCCTCGGTTCTGGTGCCCGCGGGATTGCCACGGGAGGGGTAGCAGGAAAAGCATTGGTCGCCCTGGGTCCCAAAGCGTAGCAAGAGGGAAGGGAAGGAGTGCTCGTGGCCCCTCTAGTAGGGAGGACGCCGAAAGGCAATGGAAAAGAGAAGGTGGACGTAAGCGGGGTGCAAGTAGTCATAGCTCAGGGATTTGAGGGTTTGAGCCTTGGACCACCAACAGAAAGTAAATCAGAGTTGGTATACTGAGTATATATTGAATGTGTATATACCTTCACTGGTGTGCTCTGATATATAGTGCACGTATGTATCACTGAATGTGATAATATGGGTTTCCTTTTAGTATGAACAAAACCAGATAACGTATGCACAGCCTAGCACAGAAAGTCCTCCCTAAAAGTATTTTGCTGAATGCACGGTTGGTGAATTAGTGAGTACTGCAAATGAAAACATAAAATTGTAGAACTGGCTTGGTAAAGAGCTGCCTTTGGATTAGACTCCTTAAAATGTACCTATGTTTTAAACAATGCCTGGCTTAAAATAACAGCTAGGGTGTGCAATTTCAGAAACCACTCCTAAACTACAAAGAAGGTATATGGAACTAATGTAAAGTGAAAAAGCTGTAAGAATACTCAGAATTAATAGTTAAGATGTGCCAATATACACCAAATGCAGTAATCGTTCATGAGTACTTTTCAAAGATGGTTATAGGCTTGTTTTGATTAATCTCCCTTTGCTACTTCATCACTGTTCATTTACTATGAAGTACCTAGTATGAGGCAGCACTGTTTTAAGTCATTGGGGATAATAGTAGTCAGGCTCCTTTATCAAGCTTCTCATTGCCTAGGATGAAGAACATTACCATTATCAATCCTTAATTCACTCATTCTGCACATATTTCTTGAGTGCCTGCTCTGGGCCAGGCACAGTCTTGCTATGGAAAGCAAAAAACGTAGTAAGGGGAAAAGCAGCGGAGGGGGCAGGAGTTAATATTTTATAGAGAGTATGATTAAAAAAGGGTTCATTAAGAGATTGAACAGCGCGGAGACCTACGGAGGTGAGGAAGTGTGTATGTGGATTATTTTGGGAAAGGGCAGTTGTGTCAGAGGGCACAGCAAGAGCGGATTCCATGAGAACAGAATACTTGATATTTCCAAGGAAATGCAAAAGTCAGTTGGCTGGGTGGACCGATGAGGGGGAGAGTGCCAGGAGATGAAGTCAGAAAGTAGCAGTGTTGTAGGCTTTTCTCTGCTTCAAGCAGGAAGGACATACTGAAGCTTGAGCTGTATTTCCACCAATAAACAATACATTCTAGAATGATGTTTATGTTATTTCTGTCACCTTGTTATATCACTCATTTACCATTTGTCACCTAATACTGTGATGAACAAAATTAAATACTGTGAATAAAACAAAACATCTAATGTATGTAGTTTGTCTCTCTAACTCAGGGTTTCCCAACCTGACATTCTTGACATTTTGGGCCAGTAAATTATTTGTTGTGGGGATGTCTTGTTCACTGGGGGATGTTTAGTAGCATTCCTGGCCTCTACCCACTAGCTACCTGTAGCACTACCCTCCCCCACAAGTTGTGACAACTAAAAATATCTCGAGACATTGACATATATTCCCCAAGGGCAGTGCAGTATCACCCCTTGCTGGAAACCAGTAATTTAACTAATTTAATTTAAGCCTTTTAAGAGCAGAAGCTGATTTATTCTTTAGAATTTCCCATAGTTCTTTCACTACTGTTATGCATAAATAGGACCCAGTATTTTAAATAAATAAAACGTATAATTCCCACTTCCTCTCCACGTCAGGGAATATATGTATGTGTCCTCTGTATAAACAATACAATAAACAAAAATCCAAACTTAGAAAACACAAAATAAGTAAGCTCCCTGAGTTTCAGTACTTTATGTTCACTGCTGAATCTCCAGTGCTAAAATAAGTATCCAGCAGATAGTAGGTGTTTAATAGTAATTGTTGAATGAAAAAAGAAAATGAAATATTTTTATTGGATTTACTGCCAGAGTCATTAAATATCAACAACCTCTATTATTTATCCAAGAAGGACTGGTTTGAAATCTTCCATATCTGCTCCATCACCTCTCCCAAACTATATATTCAGTGGAATTGATACCTAATAATACTGTATTATCATATTCTGGAGCCTTCCAGCTAATTCATAGAAGATGAATATTGGCAATGGTGCTCAGCAGTTGGGTAATTACTGGAATTGGGAGGAAATACCATCCATTTTTTTTTTTTTACAATACTTCACACAGTACAGATATACAGTGACTGAGGGCACATATTTGGTGTCTTTTGTATTGCTCTACCAACAATCTGCTGATAATATATCTCCCCAGGATGTCTACTTGAGTAGTTATCCCACCTACATTTTAATGTCCCCTGATATAGCATTATAAGAACCTTCTTAAGATTAATTACACAATAGAGTAAGAGAAATATCTTTTTGACCCAATAATATGTTACTGATTTTTTTCTCCCCTCGTATCCCCACAATTTGTTATAGTGGCCCCTAGAGCTTAAAATAGTAAAAGCAGGCAAGATAATCATTGTAGAAACCCCTATGTTCTAAGATATTCAAAACACATAAATACATGATGAAATTTATTTTGTGGTCCACTAAATTTGGTGCAGGTACCAGCCATGTTGATTTTCCTCAACTTTAAAACTGGACTAATAAAAGAATCACAGTTGATGAAAAGTTAGTTATGAATAAAGTGCTTAAAACACTAGCACATACCAAGTGTCTAGCACATACCAAGAGTTTAATAAGCGCTAGCCACTGTTCCTATTATTTTAAAAGGAGGCATAACATAAAAATCACAGAGTGCTGGAACATTAGAAACTCACTAGTTCAGAGTTCTTCAAATTGTGAGTTGTGAAGCATTAATGAGGTCATGAAGTCAATTATTGGGACACAGTCATCAATTAAAAATATGAAAAAGAACAGAAAATGTCAGTACATCATGCATAGTAAGAGTAAGAATTGCTTCGTAATACTTTTGTTTCAGATTTGTTGGCATGTGTATGTGTATACTGGATTGTGATTTAAAATGCTTTTCTTACTATAGACTGTGACCAGAAATTTTTAAAAACAATGGCTATAGTTCAACAACCTCTTATTATAAAGAAAGAAAGTGAGGCTGAGAAAATGGGACTTACATGACCAAGATCACATAGCAATAAGTGACAGAGCATCAGGACTACTAGCCAAGTATGATTACAAAGCCAATGTCCTTTCCGTAACAAAAAGTTATTATGCTGATCATTTCTCAATATATACAAAAAGAATATGTGCACCCAAAATAAGTAGTCCCAAATGTATGAAGCAAACGTTCGACACACAGGAAGGAGAAATAGTAACACAAAAATAATAGGGGCTTCCATACCTAGCTTCCAGTTACGTATGAAACAACCAGACAGAAGATCGACGTGGTAACAGATGACTTGAACAACATGACAGACCAATTGTACGCTACAGACATTACAGAGTACTCAGCTCAGTAACAGCAGAATCCACATGGAACGTTCCCCAAGGAAGCCCACGGAACAAGTCTTAACAAATTTAGGAAGATGAAGTCACACAAAATACCTTCTTCACCCACAATGGAATGAAACTAAAAATCAACAGCAGAAGGAAAACAGGAAAACCCACAAATATGTGGAAATCAAACGACTCACTCTTAAAAATCCAATGGGTCAAAAAATGAATCACAAGGGATTTAGAAAATGTCTGGAGAAAAATAATAAATAAACACAATACACATACAGATGCAGATGTTTAAATACAGAAACATTTATCAGTATGTGTGTATACAAGGGTTTGATGACACACATATATTGCATTACTTTTTCATGAGTGACGTCCTAGAAGAAATGATACCACAGTAGCAATGAGAACCCCTAATGTCCAGATCTTGTTTGAACAATTCTCTAATAAAAAGAATCAGAGCTCCTTGAAGAAATAGCTCATTCAGGAAATGGGAAAAGAGATACAAAACCTGAGTCTGGAGCATCTGCAGTTCTAGAAAATAAGGAAGTGCTAAAAAAGAATCCCTATATAAATTGGTATGTATCAAGGGGGTACAGGAGCCAACCAAACGCGCCCCTATCGTCAAAGCTGCAGCAATTTGAATAACAATAAATTAATTAGTAGTGAATTATAACCCAAAGTACAAAATTCATACCCATGTTCCATACTGATATAATAAATATTAAATAAATAAATGAATTGGGCAGAAGAGACCACTTTGTCTTGCATAAGAATTCTCAATAATTTATATAGATACTTTTCCCTAAAAGAAGGGGAACATAAATCCCTATACCTTAAAGTGTAGCTGAGTGTCATGAATTCTTTCCCTAAAGTACAGTATGCTAAAGGGGTTGGAGGAAAGAGCATGCTCAGGGGTAACAGCATGCTCAGGTTCTTTTTTTTTTATGAAGGTATTATTGATATATACTCTTATGAATGCTTCACATGAAAAAACAATGTGGTTACTACATTTACCCATATTATCAAGTCCCCACCCATACTCCAATGCAGTCATTGTCCATCAGTGTAGTAAGATGCCACAGATTTACTATTTGCCGTCTCTGTGCTACACTGTTTTCCCTGTGATCCCCCACACCATTTGTACTAAACATAATACCCATCAATCCCCATCTCCCTTTCTCCCCACCCGCCGTCCCACACCCCTCCCCTTTGGTAACTGCTAGTCCCTTCTTGGAGTCTGTGAGTCTGCTGCTGTTTTGCTCCTTCAGTTTTGCTTCCTTGTTATACTCCAGAAATGAGGGAAATCATTTGGCACTTGTCTTTCACCGCCTGGCTTA